AGAAGAAAACAGGTCTCTGGAACTGAAGGAGCCTGGTCTACAGAGTGAATTCCAAGATTACATAGACCATATGTTTAAAAAAATAAAACAGTGAAACAGTGAACAGGTAGCCAAAGAAGGAGGGTGGTGTATTTATGGTGGATTAACAGATGGTGTTGTGGTTAAGGGCACTTGTTTGTGCAAAGGGCCGGAGTTCTAGGACCCACATGGTGGGTCACAACTGTCTCTAACATTCTCATCTCTACAGGCACCAGGTACACATATGGTGCACATATATAAATGCAGGCAAACAAACAAAACCAACCCACTGAAAAGTGTGAGCCTGCCTAGCATTCATGAAGCCCTGGCTCAGTCCCCAGCACCACGTAAGTCCAAGGACAGCCTGGAGACATGAGATGCTGTCAAAAAAACAAATATCCCACAAACAGAAAACACAAAGTCCTAGCTCCCAGAGAAACGTTACACACCTTGTCCCAGGTTCCCAAGAGATTCAGAGGCACTCCTGTGTTGAGCTTCCCAGTACGGGTGCTGCTGCTGCTGGTGGTCTGTCCTTTGTTTTGGCCTCTGTACCCTCTGTGCTCAGAGCACTTTGTAAACACAGTGCCCGCCTCTTTCCTACAGCCACATATTGCCCTCTGTTTCCTGGTCCCTGGTGGGTATGTGATGGCCTGTTCGCAGTGTGTCCACACCACACTGCTGTTCCTTTATGACTTTATCACAGGCTAGAGTGTGTAAGATAAATCCCTGCCACAAGTAAGTGTGTGCTGTAAATGCCTTATGGCCAAGGCCGAGGCACCGAGTTACTTTCAGCAGTAAACAAAGAGCTGGTGTGCCTCACCAACCCAAGATGCCATCAGGCGTTTTACCTTTGTCATACAATGTGTGTGTGTGTGTGTGTGTGTAGGGGAGCAGGAGGGGCCCCTATCACCACAACTCCAGGCTCGAGGTTTGAATCCAGTGCCAATCGGATAACACCTGCCCTTCCACACAAATAGAATTTTTCCCAACCATCTAAGTCAATTCCAGGATAGCCAATCCCAAAAGAGATGGCGTACATAACTGGAACCCGGGATTTGGAAGGCCACAACAAGAGGATGGAGAGTTCCAGACCAGCTTGGGCTACATGTATTAAGCCCCTGTCTTTCACCCAGTTAGAGGAAAATCCACACATAAAACAGGGCTTAGAAATTCAGGTCTTTATTGACACGTGGTGGAGGCAGATGGGCGGCTGGACCAACAGCTCACTCCCTCTCTCCCTGGCCCTCGGACTGGTGGTGGCTGCGTTGATGAACCAATAGGAGGCGTCTCTGACCAAAGGCCTGGTCACAGCTGGAGCATCGGTGGTGGCCAGTGGTCTGGCTGCTGGGCGCAGTGGGGGGTTCGTGACATAGGCGGTGAGCCGCCAGTTTGGAGGGAAACGAGAACGCTTTGGGGCAGTGTGGACAAGGGTAGGGGCGGGCGTCGGTGGCATGGTGCGTGTGGCGGTGGGCCGCCAGTTTGGAGGGGTAGCAGAAGGACTTGGGGCAATCGGGGCATGGGTAGGGGCGGGCGGGAGCGTGGGTCCAAAGATGCGCCGCCAGCTTGGAGCGGTGGCCGAAGGCCTTGGGGCAGTGCGGGCAGGAGTGCGGGCGAGCTCCGCTGTGCGTGAGGCGGTGCGCGGCCAGCTTGGACGGGTAGGAGAAGGCCTTGGGGCAGTCGGGGCACGGGTGCGGGCGGATGCCGCCGTGCGCTAGCCGGTGCGTGGCCAGCTTGGATGGGTACGAGAAAGCCTTGGGGCAGTCCGGACAGCGGTGTGGGCGCTGGGGTGGGGGCCGCCGGCGGGGCCTGGAGGGCACGCTCCCAGATGCGGCGGGCTGGCTGGGCAAGTCCTGGTGGGGGACTAGGGGACGTGAGAGCTGGTGAGCTTCTACTAGTAGGCATGCCCCGGGCCCAGGCCAGGTTCTGCCTCCCCTCTCCACTCTCTCTGAAACAGGGCCTCACTATGCAGCCCTGGCTGTCCTGGAAAACTCTCTGTAGACCAAATCTCCCTGTCTCTGCCTCCTGAGTGCTGAGATTAGGGACCTGAGTTACCACGCTGGGCTCTGCCATTTCTTAATACCAGAGGGGCATCTCAAAGTGTCTGAGCAGGCAAGTGTCACAATGGTGTCCCACTAAGGAACACATCTGTTTGCCCTCTCACCCCACGTTCTATCTCAAAGAGTTGTCAATTCTGGTCCTGAAACCTAGTAAAAGTATTCATTTCCAGTTCTACCCATAATCCCACATTATCCCCTATGCACCTCCTGTAGTTTCCTGAGCCCCAGCAAATGGAAGGTCCAGCCAGATTGGCGGGTGAGGGTAAGATCCTTTGCAACCTGTTGCGCGTGAGCGCGGGGCAGGTGTGTGGGTAATTCCGAATGGTTCTAACAGGTTCTTCTCAGCTGTCAATCCTGGGGAATGATCCCTATGTACAACTCGGGCTGCTCTCACCTCCCTTGGTCACCGGGTCCTGGCAAGTGGCCTCAGATTTCACATTTCCACCCAGCATCTTGATGGCAGAGGAACCCAGGGGTAGCAGTTAAGAGGGTGGGAGTGACGCCGGTGATTACCAAATTCACAGAGACAGTAGTGGGGGCCTAAAATTAGAAAGTCAGTTAGGACCTGGGTTTTGGTTAAGTCTGATCTTGATTCAAACGAGCAGCGGGGCTGGAAGACGGAGCCTAAGCGCACCCTGGGAGGAGATATGCAAATCAAACCAAGAGATCATTTCTTTGCTGGGTGGGGATTGGAGTCTATTTTGGAGTGGGCGGGGCCTCTAAACCTGGGAGGGGCGGGGCTATACAAAAAGCATCACGGCAGTCAGTGGCCGTGCCTTCCAAGCCCAGGGGCGGGTCTTTGAGCTCCGTGGGCGTGCCTTTGGCCACACTGTCCCAGAGGTGGGCCCTCTGGGTGCAGTGGCAGGGATTTCAAGTGGAAAAGGGGGCTTTACCCTGCCTTTAGTCTCAGTCCATGGATGCTGTGTCCACCCTGTCCTTCTGGTCGCTAAATCGCATCCCTGGTGTAGAACAGGAAACCTCGTAGGATAGGGAGACCTGGAGAAAAAGACGAAAAGAATAGACTTTTCACTGGAGGGAGTCCCAAACATCTGGCATCGCATGCACTCCTCAAGAACCAGGGCACCCGGACCTAAGTCTACCGTCCGCGGGGTCCCGGTGTCCAACCCCCAATCTATCTCCAAGGGACCAGGACCTTGCCCTGCCCTCCTCACCTGCAGGGAGGCCTCTCCCCAGGGGTGGGGCTCCGGAACCCTCCCGTCTCGGCTAACCCTTGAGTGCTACCTTGCAACCCTCGTATCTGCACCGCCCTGTGAGCGCCGGGAGACGCCCCCCGAGGGAAGGAGAGAGGGAAAGAAGGAGCCCCGGCAAGCCGCGGGGCCCAACCTCACTTTCATCCCCTCCTCCCATCCGGGGCTGGAGGGGGCGTCGGCACGCATGCGCAGTCACAGCCGGCTAGAGGTTGCAGCCGGGAAGACGCGGTGGAAGGAGGAGGTGGATGTACCACCCAGCTGGCAAGTTCGTGAGCAAGAGCGAAGCTATCGGCCAAAGAACCCTAGGAAAGGACACAGCTGGGACGGTGTAAGGCCTACGGTGGCTAACTGCATACACAACCCTCCGTGTTTTTTTTTTTTTTGAGACGGGTCTCGAGTAGCCCAGGCTAGCCTCGAACTCCATACATAACCGAGAATGACCTTGAACTGGTGACCCTCAAATCTTTGCCTCCCAATTGCTGAGACAGATGGGCACAGCCACGCCCTGCTTCTTTTTGTTAATGTCCCTGTTATTTACTTTCAAAAGTTTATTACATTTACTTACTATCCGTTGTATGTGGATGTGTTTGAGTGTGGAGGTCAGAGGACAACTTGTGGGACTCAGGTTTTATTTTCCACCATGTGGGTCCCAGGGATCGAAATCAGGTCTTCAGGCTTGACTGCAGCTGCCTTTTACCAATTGAGCTGTCTCTCTGGTCTCATATTGAGAATTCCATAGACAGTCTGAGCTCAACTTCTGGGAGCAGTTTCAAAAGCTCCGGGTCTATTTGATTCCACTCCTCCGAGTGTTTACAGAAAGTCTGGCTATTTCTTCCAGAAAGGGCAGAGGGCAGGACTCTTGGCTCAGTGAGCTGGCTGACACCCAAAAGTATTTGCATAGAACTTTAGGCACCCTTCACCACCGGGTGACTAGAGCCACGCCCAGCATCTGGTGCCGCTTGCCTCCCGTCCCTAACCTGGGTGGTCCAGGAGTGCCAGGCCAAGGGTGACGCGGAGTGCTTGGCCTTCTTCCAGGCAGTGACGGGCCATATCCTGCCCAGCACTGGCACGACCATGAGGTGCTCATAAAAGTCCTCCGCACTGTTGTGCCTTCAACCGTGTAACCCACAGGGTCTGGCCAGTCCTGCGAGTCACAGGAGGTATTTGTCGGGGAGGAGGAACTGCTTTGGACTGGACTCTGGCACTGTCTAATTGTGTGACCATGAGTAACTTCACATTTCTGGATCTCAGTGCCTTCATCTAGGAATTTGAGGTCTCTTGGTACTGAATTATCAATGGGAAGTGTTTACAAATCCTAAGTGTCCAATCAATGTCTTTGGTTTTGTTGTTGTTGTTGTTGTCATCTTTTGTTTTGTTTTGGTTTTTTGGATAGGGCCTCACTAAGTAGCTCTGGCTGTCCTGGAACTTACTCAGTCGACCAGGCTGGCCTTAAACTCAGGGAGATCCACCTGACTCTGCCTCCGTAGTGCTAGGATTAAAGATGTGAGAGGCCAGAGAAATGACTCAGCAGTTAAGAGCACTGCCTATTCCTCCAGAGGACCCGGGTTCAATTCCCAGCACCCACATGTCAGTTTATAGCTGCCTGTAACTCTACCTCTAGGGGATCTGACACCCTCACACAGACATACATGCAGGCAAAATACCAATGCACATAAAAATGAATAAATCATTTAAAAAATACATGACAGGGCTCGTCGGCCGTCAGTGAGGCAACATGGGTCACCAGCAGCTCTACTGGAGTCACCCGCGGAAGTTCGGCCAGGGATCCCGCTCCTGCCGCGTCTGCTCAAACCGCCACGGTCTGATCCGGAAATACGGGCTGAACATGTGCCGCCAGTGTTTCCGGCAGTACGCGAAGGACATCGGCTTCATTAAGTTGGACTAAGCGACCTTGAATGGATTCTTCAAGACTCTACCCAGTGGAAAAGATGAACGCCAGTCTTTGTACATAAGAATAAAACAAAGTGAAGACCTTCAAAAAAAAAAAAAAAGTACATGACAATATTAAACTCTCCCCTCCACTCCTTTGTTATCTCTGCCCTTTCCCACTGCCCCACTGTGTACCCGTGTTCTAGAATATACATTAAGATGGACAGATTACCCGTCTTGTTTGTCTGAGGCAAGAACAGCGCTTTCCACCTAATGTTTACACATTTGCATTGTGTAGATAACCAGCAGAAAGCTTTCCATACTGAGTGACTGAGTGGAATGGTGGGGGACAGTAGAAGTCAGGGTCAAAGGGCTTAGGAAGGAATCCAGACACAGTGAGGAAGCAGGGCAGGGATTTAAACTGTAGAAGGAGGGTTGGGAGTGCGACTCAGTGGTAGAGCCCCTGCCTAGAATCCCCCAGTGAGGGGCTGGGGGCGTGGCTCAGTGGTAGAGCCCCTGCCTAGAATCCCCCAGTGAGGGGCTGGGGGTGTGGCTCAGTGGTAGAGCCCCTGCCTAGAATCCCCCAGTGAGGGGCTGGGGGTGTGGCTTAGTGGTAGAGCCCCTGCCTAGAATCCCCCAGTGAGGGGCTGGGGTGTGGCTCAGTGGTAGAGCCCCTGCCTAGAATCCTCAGTGAGGGGCTGGGGGTGTGGCTCAGGTAGAATTTAGCAGAGTGTGGCAGGCCAGGGACAGGGATCCAAAATCCTGCTAAAGCAGTAGGGATGGTTGGGCTCTTCAGCTAGGCCTAAAGGGACTGATTTCCGGGCCCCTCTCTCTCCTGGGCTTCCGCAATCCTAGTACCTCCTGTCTGTATGCACTGTGTCCCTCTCCAGTTGGCCTGGTGACTCTCTTCTGAGTCATAGCTTCTTCAAGCTTGGGCTAGGCAAGTGAGGGACTTCAGGAGTGTCTGGGAGGCTGAGCAGCATTTCCTGCCTTTTCCTCTTGGGCTACCTCTTCTTCCCCCTCCCTGGTTCCATATTACTTCCCTCTCTGCTTGCCTCTGGTTTTTTTTTTTTTTTTTTTTTTTTCCGAGACAGGGTTTCTCTGTGGTTTTGGAGCCTGTCCTGGAACTAGCTCTTGTAGACCAGGCTGGTCTCGAACTCACAGAGATCTGCCTGCCTCTGCCTCCCAAGTGCTTGGAGTAAAGGCATGTGCCACCACCAACCGGCTGCTTGCCTCTGTTTATCCAGCTCTGACGATCTTGTGTTTTTCAGACAGAGTCTCACATCGTCACCAAGCTGACCTCAGAATCAATACAAAGCTGGGCATGGTGGCCCATGTCTTAAACTCAGGAGGCAGAGGCAGGTGGGTCTCTGTGAGTTTGTGGCCAGCCTGGTCTACAGAGTGAGTTCCAGGACATCCAAAACTATATACAGAGAGGATTTGTCTCAAAAGCAAACAATAACAAAATTTCATGGTCATCCCATCTTTGCGTCCCGCTTGCAGAGATTATGGGCATCATCTACCATGCCTGGCTTTTCACAATCTTCTGCAGTCAAGTGTACCTGTATGGCTCTATTTCTTTTTTGCTGTTGTTTTGTTTTGTTTTGAGACAGGGTTTCTCTGTGTAGCCCTGGCTGTCCTGGAACTCACTTTGTAGATTAGGCTGGCCTCAAACTCACTGAGATCTGCTTGCCTCTGCCTCCCAAGTGCTGGGATTAAGGGCATACGCCACCACCGCCTGGACATGTCTGTATTTCATTGTTAGATATCCCATGGTCCTTCCCTCTGTTCTTTCACAATGCCTCTCGGTAGCCCCCTGGCTCCCTTCTTCATGTCCCATTCAAATTTCTAAGCATAGCCATGTCTTCGAGTGATTTTCGGAGCCTCTTCTGTGACGAAAGCCCCTAGAGATGCCAAGGACTTCAGCAATGGTGATTTTAATTTTTGGGTGTGGGGTGTATTTGTTCCATAGTGTGGAGGTCGGAAGATAGCAAGGGAGACTTGGCCCTTCTTCCGCTGGGGCGGGGGCGGGGGCGGGACGGGGGCGGGGGTGGGGGCGGGGCGATCAGGATTGGACGGGCTCTTCGGCTTGGAGGCAAACACTTTTACCTGCTGAGCCGTCTCAAAGTTCCAAACTTGCCTTTTATTGCCTGGAAGCTTGAGGGAGAAAAACACAGTGGGATCCCTGGGGCTGGTTCCTTAATCGGAGGGAGGGAGACAGAAGATTTGGAAAATGTGGCTTTTATGTAACAATTTTGTTAAACCGGGAGTGTAGGGTCAAAGCAAAGTACGCTGTGTGAAGCTGGGAACAGGATCAGGTCCAAAAGAAACAAAAGACCAACTGTGATGCCTATTAGCATAGCAAAGCTCCTGCTGGCCTCCAGGCTCGCTCAGCACCACCGGTGCCTGTGGCTCTTCAGCGTTCTCTCACCCCGCCCCTTACATACTCCTCCAGCTCATGGGCCTCCCTCAGCCTGCTCCTCCTTTCCCTTATAACCCTACTGTTTCGTCAGGCATTCCTGCGCTCTTCATCTCCTTTGCCCACACTCTCTTGGTCTACCTCTCTCGCCAACCCAACCCCATCCCCACCCCGTGACCAAGTCCAGTCCGTTGGTCATGTTCAGGGTACGACTTTGTCTCCCTGCTCTGGACTCTTCCAGATGCCTCTAGCTGTGCTTTCCCTCATATCTATAATAAAAACCTTCCCCTCAACCTTGGAGCCGGTCATGTACTTAGTTTATACCAACAGGTCTTGCTGTGAGCTGCCCAGCCAGGTTGGCACGGGGAGAACTGCAGGGTTAGGAGATAAGGATGGACCGTTGCTGCTGATTCTCTCAAAATACAAACTGCAGTGTGACTGAGGTCCACTGGAATGGAGGACTTGGTTTTTCTTCTTGAACTGGAGATAGAAACCAGGCCCTTATGTATGGTAGACAAGGGCTCTATGGCTTAAGCCACACCCTTCACCCTTAGCCCAGGAGTATCTCCACTATCAATAGGATTCCAAGAGCAAAATGTTTGATAGTCTGTGCACTAAGATAATGCAATTTATTGGCTTTGTGAGTTTGTTTTTGAGACAAGATTTAGTGGGTAGATGTGCTGGCTAGTTCTATGTCAACTTGACACAATTCCTTCATCGAAGAGGAGGGAAACTCAATGGAGAAAATGCCTCTGTAAGAGCAGGCTATACACAACTCTGTAGGGTCACAAGTCTGTAGGGTGTTTTCTTAGTGACTGATGGGGGAGGACCCAGACCATGGTGGGTGGGACCTCACTGGGCTGGTGGTCTTGGGTTTTATAAGAAAGTAGGCTGAGCAAGCCGTGGGGAGCAAGCCAGTGAGCAGCATCCTCCATGGCCTCTGCACCAGCCTCCAGCTTCCTGCCCTGTTTGAGTTCCTGTCCTGACTTCCTTCAGTGATGGACTATGATGTGGAAGTGTGAGCCAAATCAGCCCTTTCCTCCCCAACCTGCTCTTGGTCATGGTGCTTCTTTGCAGCTATAATAACCCTGACTGGGCAGGCCTAGCTGGTCTAACTCAGCAATCCTCTTACGGGGCCTCCAGAATGCTGGGATTAGAGGCCTGCATCACAACACCCAGCTATCTCTGCATCCTTGGTATAAGTAATCAGTAAGTTCTCAGTCGTCAACTCCCAAAGAAGACAAATGACCCTCACAGTGAACTTGCAAGATACAACACAAAGCAGGCGCCTGTGTGCACGGAGATGTTTGTGAGAGGAAGAAACAGAACAGTCAAAAAACAACAAACAAACCCCATTTAGCCAGGTGTGGTGTCACACACCTGTAATGTCAGCATTGTGGTGTGTGTGTGTGTGTGCACAGAGAAGTTCAAAGTCATTCTGATTTTATGTGGCACTTCAAATCCAGCCTAGGCTACAAAGACCCAGTCTAAAAATAACGAGAGAGAGAGAGAGAGAGAGAGAGAGAGAGAGAACAAAAGGAGGAGAAAGAAATAAAGAAGGAAAACAATAACTATTTCTGACAAAGTGACTAAAGTTGCTTAAATAACCTTTATGAGGGGCTTTCAGATGGCTCAGTTGCTAAGCAACCATTGCTAGAAGCCTGAGTTTGGTCCCTGGAACCCATGTAAAGGTAGAAGGCAGCGGGGGGGGCGGGGACGACACACCAACCCAACAAAGTTGTTCTCTGACCGCCATGTGCACATGGAATTCTTTTGAAAAATAAAATAAATTTTTAAATATTTAAAAGATTTTTTTGGGGGCTGGAGAGATGGTTCCTCAGTTAAGAGCATTTAGAGGACCCAAATTCTATTTCTAGTCCTACATTGTAAGCAGCCTCCTGTAGTCCCAGCTCCAGGGGATTGGCACAAGTTCTCACCTGTGCCCCCACCAAACAGATACACACATAACTAGAAATAATTTTCAAAAATCTTAATTTTTGTTGTTGTTCTTGGAAGGTTTAGGCAGGATTGCCACAAGTCTGCGGTCAGCCTGGACTATATGGAAAGGCCCTGTCTCCGCCCGAGGTGGTGGAACACCCCGTTAATTCCAGCACTCAGAAGGCAGAGGCGGGAGATCTCTGAGTTCAAGGCCAGCCTGGTCTACCAGAGCAAGTTCTAGGATAGCCAGGGCTATGTGAAGAAAAACCAAACAAACAAAAAAGTAAAATAAAATAAAAATAAACCAAACCAAACGATTAAACAAAACAGAGTTGTAATCAGACACTTATCCAACAGTTCCTCAAAATGCCGGTGACACTGACTTTCGATTTTTTTTTCTTTTCACAGGATGACTAGCTGACCACGTGTTTTTCTGGAAAACGTTCCATGTCTCTAAGTGTCTGGAGGCTTTCTACTTCTCTCCCTGTTTCTACAGCAGTATCCCCGGATGTCCTGAGTCTCTGATCTCTTTTCAGCCTGTTTCAGGGTCTCCCCTTTGCGGGCGCTTTTCCTGGGTCGGGTCATCTGCGGTTCCTTTAAGACAGGCCCCGCCCCGCCCCGCCCCGCCCTCCCGGGTCAGCCCCGGTGCGTGGGGCTCAGGCGGGGAGACTGCTGGACTCAGTGCTGAGCGGGCCGGGACACGATGGCGAGCGCGGCTCTCAGAGTCGCCGTGCGACGGCTGAGCCAGCGAAG